GGTTGAACTGCAGTTGACTAGAAAACCCAAACCCACATTTAACCTTTCCAGGACCAAGGGAAACATTTTCGCCTAAGAGTTTTTCCGTTCCTAAGGAAATTGTGTGAAGATGTCTAAAAATTTTTTTTATCATAAAACTTTCAAAATAAAAATGTATACCGAAACTAGGCAAAAATATTAGAAGAAAAAATTAGTTGAAAGAAAAGATTTTTTTTAGAAACTAGAGGAAAAACTCAATTATAACTCGTGATGAATTCACTGCAATTGCCAAATTTATCAAACGCCTAAAGATATTCCTATAAGTTATACACACTATGCACTTCTTAACAAAACTGATCAACAGCGTTGCATAAAAACGCAAAATGTTAAAGAAATTTACTTCGTTGTTATAATTTTGACAACAAATTAAAAGCAGTGCCACAAAGTATGCCACGCTACTGAGTAAAAACAGATTAGATAAAACCCACTTTCGTTTTTTCTAAAACTAAATTATCTCTGTACTCGATGGAATTGCGCTCTAAAAAGTATGCCACGAAATTTATCAAATATTCAGCAAAAAGAAAAATTTAACGAATACATCAAACTGTCAAAGCGCGACTAGAACTTTCCGGCGCTTATCACCATTGTTTACAAGCGGAAAATTTTCGAAATTCGTTTGTTTGTGACAAATAATAATCGAAAAAAAAAACAACAAAACACACAAAAGATAAATTGCCGCCAAGAAAGAAACAGGAAACAGTAAAGAAATTTAAAACTATAGCAGACGAACAGGGAAGCAAAGAAAAATTGTCGCCGCTTACAAAAACAAAAAACGCGAACTTTGTCGAAACTGATAAGCCATTTCGTGAGCGCCAGCATACGCTGGCTGCAAAAAAAAAAACTAGTGAATGCAACGTTGCGATGCAAGAGTTTTGGGGTTAGAGCAAAAGTTTCCAGCGAGAAACAGCTGCCATCTGCTTGCGGAAAAAAGTAGTTGATTGCTACGTAGGCACGCGTAATCGCGCTGCGCAAGCACTGCAGCGCACTTCGTGCCTTCTACACCTACATAGCTGTTTGTATTCCGTCGTCTAACAGCCTCATCTTAAAAATGCTACGACTTTCTGTGGCAAATATTGATGAGATAAGATTAATGTGCACTTAGCTGCCACAACGTCGGTCGCTGCCGCTCGCTATGCTAACATTTTTAAGCGCCACGCAAGCGGAAAATGAAAATGTCCACGACACAATGGCTGACTGCTTAGCGGCTTCACTTACACTCGCTTTTTGCTTTCGGTTTACTTTTCTTGCTTGCATTGACTTTGTTGTTTCAGTCATTACATCCACATCTTTTACACCCGTATATCCATTACGGTAGGCGCTTTTCCCCTTTGTCAAGGCACTCTTTGAGTACCAAAGTAAACTCGAAAAATTCTTTCCATTTCTTTACTACCTTCCTACCCACTCAACCCATTTTCTTTGCACTCTTTTAGTTAAATATATATTTCAAACAATTTTTTGATTGCCTTGTCCAAATACATCTTCGAAAAGTACGTAGAAATGTATAAAATGTTTGTACCTACAAATATTTTGAACTCACTAGCAAAGTCTGAAGATCTGTTATAAAGAAGGTAATTTTTTTGGGAGGCCTAGTTCGATAAGCTGACCCGAGGCCCAGCTGGTCAATAGCAATTCATACAAGTTCTTCATTCTAAAATCTTGATTTAAGTCTACTCTGCTAACAGAAAATTAAACAACTAGTGTAGGTACGTTTCCCGAGAGCCAGGACTTGGGCGATCCGGTTTGAGTAGCTCGAAGACCACAGAGGCTGGAGAGGCAAAAATGCGAGAGTACCAAGAGCTTTAAATGTTCTTGCATGGCGACATCTATGAGGCATTTGACGAATATGAAGGCTTAAGAAGTAAAAAAGCCCATTTAGCGGACATATACCAGGTGTGAAAAAGCACTTGGCTAAAAGAATAGCTCGACGATTGGAATTTCAGTTCACCCAGCCCAATCCGCTGGAAAAGGAATAATTTTTAAGAAACATTTATTTATAGAAAAAATGCAATTAAAAAGAAAATTGGAAAAAAGTAATTTATAGAAAAAAATATAAATTTTTGGAGAAAAATGCTTGTTAGAAACAAATGTTTCATTGCCCCATTTTTACTTACATTTTTTGTCAAAAAAGTTCTATAAATAAATTTTTCTCCAAACCTGGAAAAATTTGCCTAATATAATAATTTAGAAAAAAAGGCGTTGTAAGAAAAAAAAGTTTAAAGGAAAACGTAAGTCTTTTAGAATCAAAATTGAAAAAAGGAGAAATTTTTAGGGATAAAATGTATTTATACACCATTTTGCGTAAAAAGCAATTTCTAGAAAAAAAATATTTATTTTGGAAACAAATGCTTGATGGAGAAAATATTTTTTCATTGCCTACTTTTTACTTAGTTAATTTAAAAGAAAACAATTTCAGGAATCAATTTTTTTCCCAAAGCAAAACAAATTTGTCTAAAACAAAGCAATATATGTATATATATATTTATATGAATAACGTGTTTTTAGGAAAAAATATTTAAAGGAAAAAGTAAATTTTTTTGAAAAACTAAAAAGGAGTAACTTTTAGGAAAAATGTATTTATAGAAAAATTATAATAATCCCAAATTAAAATAGTAATTTATAGAAAAACATTAATTTTTGCAAAGAAATGTTTGTTAGAAAAATAAGTTTTCTTTGCCCAATTTTTACATCGTTTTTCATCAAAAAAAATTTCAGAAATAAATCTTTTTTTCCAAAACTGGACAAACTTGCTCAAATTAGGAAAAAAATAATTTAGAGAAAAAATGCGTTCTAAGAATGTTTAAGAAAAACATTTTTTGAAGCAAAAAGTAAATTTTTTAGAATTTTTTAATTTGAGAGGAAAAAATGTATGTATAGACCATTTTGTGGAAAAAAATAATTGTTAAGAAAAAATTAATCTTTGGAAATACTTGTTAAAAAAAAATATTTTTTCATTCCCAAATTTTTACCTAGTTTTTTTTATCAAAAAAAAAAAAAAAAAATTTTTTTTTCTAAAATTCGACAAGCTTGCCTAAGCAAAAAAATATTTAGAAAATACGGAGTTTTTGGGAAATGTTAAATTTTTGGAAAAAAATTCAAAAAGAGGCGGTTTTTAGAGTAAAAGATGTATTTATGCACCACTTTGTAATTGTTAGAAAAAGATTAATTTTTAGAAAAAAATATTTTTTAGGATAAAAATATTCATTACAAAAGCAGAAAAAACTGGTATGTAGTATTTAAGGAAAAACTGTTAAAGGAGAAAAGAAAGAGAAAGGGAGTTTAATTTAAAAAAAAGACAAAAAACGGAGGTTACTCCCAATTCGTCGTCTACAGTTACATATTTCTAATTATAGCCTTATAGTCCAGAAAGCGTTAAGTATAACCCAACGAAAATGTTTAAGATTTTACTAAAATATATGTACCAAAAACTTTATTTCATGTACCTCATAAATTTCGCTAAAAGCATGTGACACTTTTAGCACTTTACAACCGCCAACACTTTTCCCATTTTACCGCTGGGCAACGCTTTCACATAGGTGTAAAATTTCTTTGAAAAATTTATATTTGTAGGTTAGCGTGTTACTTCAACGTTGTACGAGTAGTACCATCAGCTTTGTCGCAATGTGGCTTATTTCTTTTCGCCAAATCGTTTTTTTTTTTTTGTTGCAATTTTTTACCACTCAAGCAGATGTGTGGCAATGGCCAAAAAGTCGAAGAATTCCAACCAGCACTTAGACCACCTTCGCAGTAAAAAAGGTAAAAAAGTAAAAGTGTTAGCAAAAGAGCAAAATAAAGGGAAAAACGAGCAAGCGTTGAAAAAACAGCAAAGTGCCACAAAAAGGTAGCGGCAGTAGTGCACTTGCCGGCTAGGAAGTAATATTTAGTTGTTGTAGGCAGCATAAAGGAAGTTGTTGACATTTTTCGAAAAGTTGTTCGGTTTTTATTTTTTTGTCGCCTCATTTTTTATGCTGTTAAAATGAGTGTTACACCGCTTGTACATTTGCGCTTTTTGTCGCTGCTGTTTGCCTATGCCAGTTATAGAGAATTTCTGCCAACGGCGCACTCGTACTAGAGTACCGGACCAGCAACGGAAATTGGGTTAGACATAAGAACTTTTTGTGTCGGCAGGCCTAAAATTTGAAGTGGCAACAAGCGCTTTGGAGAAAAAGTTAAAATAGCGCAAGCTACACACAAAGCGAAGTTCGTTGTTTGCCGTAAAGAAAAAACTTATATTGCGAGCGTGCTAAAGGAGCTGTCAAATTTCGTAAGCTTGTACGGGCGAGGTTGAGTTACATAAGTCGTTAAAGTTTTTGTTTAAATTCGGCAACTTCCATTGAACACTGACGTTTGCTGCGCCAGGTAGTGTAAGTGGAAATCCTAAAAATAGTGCTGTATTGGTTGCGAAAGCATTTTCTAGGTGACTTCGGACTATTTCTGTGTGGTCAAGTCCAACAACGAAATTATTTTACTTTTAGCAGTTGGCGCCTTGCCAAACGCTTCTCAATTAGCAACACATTTTTTTCTCACTAAATTTACATATCCAATTGATAAAGATTTTGATAAGATTGCGGTCTTCTTCCCAGCCTGAAATTTTTCGCTAATAGAAGATTCCTACAGAGCATAAAAAAATATTTTTTTTTACAACTATATTTTTTTTTAAATTTTTTTTTTCAAAAACGTCTTATTTCCAAAAAAATAAAATAGTAAAATATGCGTTGTTTTGGCAAACATTTTCATTTCTTAAATTTTATGTAAAAAAAAGTTTAATTCTTCACACAATTTTTCCCTTGGTCCTGAAAATGTATTTTCTTTTTAAAAAGTATTGAAAGAGCGGTCGGATTTCAGTTTAGGAATATTGGCCTTTCTCATAATAATTTAATTATTTATTTATTTATTTAATAAAGTTTTCAGATATAACTACGGAAAGAGATGCGAGCTAACCTTTATTTATCTTTTTCTTTCAGGTACTGAAATGATTATAAACATTACTCAAAATAGCCGGTAAGTTTTTTAAAAATCTATACAACCTATATGTATGTATATCAAACACTATACATAATTCAGTGAGCCTAAATTCTCGCTAAAAGCTATTGGTCAGTTTCTGCCTTACTTATACGAAAAGCTTCATCAAGAGATAACGGATTATATGTATACACTTAAGTTCTGGTAGGATTAATATGAGTCGTGTTATACGACAGCTTCCAAGAAAAGCGTGCAAACTGTTATTAAATTTTGGTTAGTTTTTTATAGTTCATTCTTTAACAACATCCGTATAAATACAAGTTGAAATGCAGTATCACACGATTGGGTATTTGCCGAAATTTGGTGCCATTTGAGTGAACACCTAAATATTTTTCTTTATCGCAATCACGAAAAATAATTTGCTAAAATTGTTTGTCCCAATTTTTTATTTGGCACCAATAGCTCAATATAAAAATGCACAAATCTGTACAAATGTATCAATCGAGTGGCACTGCCTTAAAACTTTATGCAATTAAAAGAAATAAAAATCAACAAATTTCCGTAAAAATTTCGAGTTTTTAATTAGATTCTGAGTATGCAGTTTTGTAGCCAACTGAATTCTGGTAGAATAAAATGCAAGTTTCAAATGGCTAAAAATTACGGTTGATTTTTTAGGATTCTCAAAAGAGCTCGAAATTTGTACGAAAGTTTGTTGAAGTTTTTTAATATTGTACAAAGTTGGAAACTTGGAGTTACACGGGTTTTGTTAAAGAATGAACTATATTATTATAAAAAAAAATAACGATAATTAAATAACAACCAAAATAATTCGTTAAAACTTGGCAAAAGTCGTTCTGCTATGTATATTATTTATATATTTAATTGGACATGCACATTGTACATAAAGGTATGTACATAACAAAATTAAAAAATAATGTTGTCTTTTTTTGCCTTTTTTTTGCAAGTTTAAATTCTAACCCTGGTTACTAACACCTTTTTATCGGAGATGCTAGGGCTCCGAACACCGACACATGAAGTTGGGATCCAATGTCCTGATTGACGCCAGACTTTCTTCTGCGGCTGCTTGAGGAAGATTGCGCAGCCTGCACTCTAAACATTTTTTGTTTAAATTTGCGCATATTAAGATAGGTAACCAGTTTCCTCTCTTAATGAATGCAAATTTACACACCGTGTTAATTAAATTAAACACTGCTTGCTTACTTTTACTTATCATATGTGTGCTGTAGAACAACTTTCAAATTTGTTTTTTGAGTTTTAAACATTTATTGTTCACATTTTCACAGTTTACACATAAAATGTTTAAAATTTCCTCTAAAAAATTTTCGTTTAAATTTACGCATATAAAGAGAGGTAACCAGTTTCCTCTCCTAGTGTGTGCAAAATTAAACACTGTCTGTTTTTAGTTTTACATATCAAATTTATCACGTAGCGCACACAAGGGGTGGGTTTTGGGGTTAAATTTATTATGATTTAAGAAATTTTGATAAAAAAAAATTCTTTTCCATTTCTTGTGCGTCATTTTGTAAGAATTTTTCTTTTTTTTTGAGAGCTCTTTAAAGTTTAGCTGCGATNGTAACCAGTTTCCTCTCCTAGTGTGTGCAAAATTAAACACTGTCTGTTTTTAGTTTTACATATCAAATTTGTCACGTAGCGCACACATGGGGTGGGTTTTGGGGTTAAATTTATTATGATTTAAGAAATTTTGATAAAAAAAAATTCTTTTCCATTTCTTGTGCGTCATTTTGTAAGAATTTTTCTTTTTTTTTGAGAGCTCTTTAAAGTTTAGCTGCGATTGAAAACATTGTCCTAAAAATATGCAATGCATACTCACTTACTGTTGCTTTTTACACTTTAACTTAGCTTAAAAAAGTTTACTACTGATATGTACTTTACAAGCATTCNTTTGCCTATCAGTGGTTTGGAATTAAAAGATGAATAACTGATATAGGGACTTATTCTGTATCACGAACGATAGGCAAAACGAACGATTCGTCTGCAGACGACAACCTCTCTGATTGCAATTTTAAACTCTATCGGTCGTTTTCGTCTTGCTTTTCATACATTACGTTGCAATGGTCTCGGTTGCGTTTAAACCGGCTAAAATGATGCCGCCGGACAAATTTTTGAAGCATTCCTCTGCAGACAAATCGTTCGTATTGCCTATCGTTCGTTATACAGAATAAGGCTGTTAATTTGCTAAATTCGAATTCGTTCCACCACAATGAGCTGCATGATAAAAATACAAGTTCAGTTAAATTTTCGTTATTCGAAGTACTAAAAAATGAGAAACCAGAAATTGACGAAAATGAATAAAAAAATGTAAACAGTTATGCGGTGGAATAAATAAAAGAAGTAAAAATACTCCAAAGAATTGATAACCTCCCCTTTTTTGAAGCCGGTTGAAAATGTCTGAGTTCTTTGTAAATTTTATGTAAATAAAATGCAATTTATGAAACTTTAAAAATTTATTTATTTATTTCATACTGTACATAAAACTTGCATAAATGTATTTTAAAGAGCGAGTTTTCAGTATTTTCTGATTATATGTATTTAGAAGTATAAACCCTTTCCCCCAAAAATATATTCCTGCGTGCGCCCCTGGCACTTAGTATTTATTATTTGTAAAAATATATTTTTACTTTGAAAATGTTTGTAATTTTACATATTTGATGTGTATATTTATGTGTATATTTTAAACAACTCGTGTTCAAAATCAAATCTTGAACATCTTGTTCGTATACTTGAACAGATACTGGTTGAAAAATAAACACTTTTCAGTAGTAGTTTTACATGCACTTTTTAGAGTGTGGAATTCCTTTTTGCGCCCTGAGAAGCTGCTGAATATCGACGACAAATGGGCTTCTCGTCCCCAATCTACCGCCGGTACTGAGTATCCGACTATCTGCATCGAAATATTATCATCCTTACTGATCATGTCCACATGGACACCTACTTCCTAGGGATTTATGGTTCTCGTGTTAACGAAAACTCACCACTGCATGACGGCGACGTTGCCGTATCTTCTCTCTGTCGCTATAAACATCAATTTTATATATTGATATGGACGGCAAGTACGGAAGGGCGCTGCGTCGGTGGCTGGTTCAGCTCTAACTTAAGAAGGCTCACAGTACTCTTAAATATATGAATATTTATATATTTGCTAATTATTTTCTATGAAGTAAGGTAACCGCTTTTGGGAGTTAAAATTTGTTAATTTTATTTACTTATATACATATGTACATAAATATCTCCCATGAATACCGACAAGGGCATTCATTGAAAATAACTACTCGTTGCCTACCTCAAGGCGCAGCTGCAAGTGAATTTTACAAGACAACAATTTTGAAACTTTGAAAGTATTTCGTCGTCATAAGTGCGCACCTGCAACTGCAGATAAAAGCATGCAAATACATGCAAACATACAAATAAGCAGCCTTCCTGTTACTAAGCTTACTTACGTCAACCGAATGCCGTGCGACGGTGCGTATACGTAATGTAATTTGATTACACGTCCATGCCATCAATGTGTGTGTTACCAGCAGTGTGCGTGCAAGTGCTGTGCTGCTGTTCTTATTTGTTTTTTTTTTCTCCTTTGTTGCTATATTTTTTTGTGCCATCCCGCTTCATCTCTTTTGTGCTGACATTTTGGAGCAGTCAAAAAAAAAAACTTGACAGCAATTTTTTCTACTTTCGCACACAAATTGCATGTGCGCACACTTTTTCTTGTTATTTTATTAGTTATTTCTTTTCGCTCTCGTCGCATGTTTAATGCTGCAAATTTAATTAAAAATTCTTGTTATTGTTGTAATTGTTAGTCATTCGCGGTGCGGCAGCCTCGTGACGATGTGCCGATGAAAAACTTTGCGGACAAGCAGCTTAAAAAGTACGTAAGCAGCACTAACATCAACAACAACAACAACAACCACATAAAACGTGGCGCAGCTTCAAAAAACAATTGCATTGTCGAAAAAATGGTTAACCAAACTGAAAAGAGATTTGCTTGTGGTATTAAAAAGTTTAGTTCTTCGTTATTTAGTGGTGGTGAATAGCTGCTGTGAAATTTTTCCAGGTGAGCATTTATTCTTGCTGAGGCGGTGGGAGTTCCAATGTTCTTCTAATGTCAAAGGACTGGTAGGAAATTAATATAGTTTAAGGCTTTATGGGTAAAGTGTCGAATGCAGCATCGATAAATACATGCATATATGTAAAATAAATGCAATTATCTATAATGATATCGGCAGGGCTTATATTTAATTAATAAAACCTCTCTGCAATTTTCAGAAAAAACTACTTTCTGACATGGAACTTAACTACCACCACCGATTTTAATTTTAACTTTGCAATTGAATTACAAATTCTTGTATGAAGTGATCTATAGGCCAGTATTAACATCATTGATAACAATGAAGTCTTAGGTGGATTCTTATATGAGAATCTAATTATTGGGAAAAGTGCAAATAAGTTGTATTAAATATCGAAAAAATATCGGTAAAAAATAAATTGACATCGATATCGGTAATCAAAATAACAAATATTTAGAGGCTTCGACAAAAGCAATGGTATTCATATCGATAAAATATATATATATATTTATAAAAATATCAGCACATGCAACTATAACAATATGTATAAATATATATTTGTACAATGATTTCGATAAATAAACACACTGATTAATATAACAAACAATTATTGATAAAAAGTAAATCGATAAAAACCAATCATCGTTATCGTATATTGTTATCGTTAGATTCCATGGAAGTGACCCCTTACCTGCGGCTTGCCTCTTTTAGTGTAACTGCGAAGGGATAATTCCCAAGCTCCGCACAAATATTTCTGTCCCAAGCAGAAGTCGAATAAATCGCAACAAAGTAGCCAGAAGTTCAGCTCGGAGTAATCATTAAGGTATGGCTTCTAGTATAAATTTTTTAAGCAAAATAAAATATGCAATTTGGCCGTTTGAAAAATTCAATATGGCGTCTTAACTATGGCATCTGAACTAACTGTACACCAGATTT